CTCGTTTGCTTCATCTCCTATAAAAAATGTATTTTTAGAAGGATACGATAATATAATTTCACTCCTTAGGTTGTACTTTTAACAGTATCAAATAATAAGAAATTATTCCTTGAAAGCACATTGTTTTATATTTTGAGTTATTTGGGTGGTATGGACGGCAGTTTGAGCCAGTAGACAATTGATAACGTACTATACGTCAAGGCGCCTAAGCAAACGAAAAACTTGAGGTTTACTACACCGTATGAGCACTTGTTTCATCGTTCTGACAAATAGTTCATATTATGCGCAGACATTTAATACACAAAACGTCTTCATTTGCGTAAACAATCCACCTTAAACTATTATTTAAATATCATGAGATACAGCAATCCTCGCGAAAACTATGCGTTTTCGATAAATAGATGTGTTAACAATCATAGATTATCTAATTTGGTAAATATTAATATTGGTAAAAATATGAAGAAATTGTGCTAAGAAAATAAAAACAACTATCCTAAACTATTGTACGCTGATAGATTCAAATCAATACAATTGAAAAAATAATATGTGCCTTGTGCGAGCCATTCATCGTTTATTCTTATGTACAAGAAAAAGTTCTCCGTGACTTCCGGTCTTCAGTATAATATTTAAATTACGAATCGATCGCTTAGAAACCTAGACGCGGCAAAAAGCTGTACCCGGACCGGTCGTGTTGCCATTGACACGTATCGCCGTGCGCCTTCTCCGGATCTATACGCACCGCTTCCGACCGGGCAACCGCTAGCCACTTTTATAACCATATAAAACGATAACACATGCGGACAGGTTGCTTGACCTAGTATCGACGTCGTGAACACATCGCCTTCCAATCCAAAACATCACTTTAACTAGCTTAGGATTAGTGAGTCATACGAAAAATTGATACAAAAATACAAAATCTTTATTTGCGGATTATTTTACAGTAGTGGTAACGTAGTAGCTATTAATATAATATCTGTGGTAGTGGACGTCAGTTACTGTCTCTATGTTCCGCTCAAAGAGCATACATATAGGCCTCCTTAAACTTCATTAGAGGGAATATTTGCTATGGTTGGCACGCTTGGCAAGCGGGTTGGCAACTGTAGTTTTTTATTTTTAGTCGTTATTAGTAAGACGCTACTTCTTATCTCCTGATTTATATCATATTAATTATATGCTTGTCTTTTATAATTTCTCCAATACTATAATGGTATTTTAGAATAAGATATGTCCTTAATATCTTCTTACAGGTATTAGATTAGAATAATCAATATTTTTTATTTATTTTCGTAATTTATTCATAATTTCTCTTGCCATGCATACAAAACTAATAGTAAGGCAATTTGTTTTAGATGGTACTTACTAGGTAAAGAAAATTCTGATTTCGTAATCTGTATTGATTTCAAAAAAGGTTTACAATTACCACATGTATAAATTAGTTCGTAAGAAAAACAATTTTATATATGTACATGTGCATTAGCGATCCGCCCCGGCAACGCACGCATATATATATATATATATATATATATATATATATATATATATATATATATATATATATATATATATATGTGTGTGTGTGTACGGATGGTAGCTTAAATATATTCACAGGTTATTTATAGGAGAGGGTGATAAACGCGCACATGGTCCACCTGATGGCAAGTGGTTGCTGCGGCCCAAGATATCTAAGTACATATATCTTCGATTAGGAATCAAAATGCAGATGCGTTGTCACCCGTGAGGATTAAGATGGAATGCCTCGTTTCCAGTAAAAAGGGTCTCCGGTTGATTGTTGGTTGGTGTCTATACCCACCCACCCACCCACCATACGAAACACAGCAGCATTAAGCTAATATTTTACGCTGGTATTCTGTGAGAGCGAGTTCCTTCCTCGGTCGAGCCGACCCATTTGTGTTACAACTATACTACTAATATAACTGCAGCATGGCTCTACCACGTGTTAATTAGACACAGGTACAAAGTGGCGTTTTTATGAATCGTTCTAATGTAAGAGGCATAATGCACGTATGCATTCTTTTTGTGTTCTGAATACAATATCTCAGGCAGTAGCATTACCCCAAATAATAATGCAATAGCATAAAGGTGCAACACAGCCGCTATAAACTGTTACAATTGGTGCTTCACTTGATATTCACGAAGAAACCGAATACAGAAACTTTTGTATTCAATATCTTAATATATTAATATCAGATAGAACAAACAGATAGAATAGTTTTTTGGTCCATGAGTGACTCACAATTTTTTTGCGAATTTAAGGATTTCTAATAGTACATGACAAATTGTCGTCGAAAATGGCAGAACAACGTCTGCCTGGCAACCTAGTACATTATAAATAATACTTATTGAAAGTCACTTTGTTATTTTAAGCAAGTGTAAAACATATGAAATCTTTAAAAAAAAATATAGTTTCAATATCAGAATTGGAATTTTAGCTGCTTTGTATCTTTGTTCACGATAATCCAAGTAAGACATGGATTTTTTTATATCTGGTATAAGCTCATAAACTTTCCACTATTTGAGTTTGACGTTGGTCACTAGCATCACCACTATTGACAGGGATACACTATTAAAGTTTTATATAAATGACTGACTTTTAATTTTAACTGTTAGGTAATTGAATACAGTATTTATTAACTTAAAAAGCAAAACAGAAAACTAAAAACCTAAATTATCATTTAAATATGTACTAGTTTTTACGGATTTTATCGTACTCCACGCGGTACGCTAGGCTGGTTTACGTTTACTCGCTGAATAGCTATGCCTTCCAGTTAGAAAAGAAACAACCCTTTTATTACCAGCAGCGACAAGGGGTGGGTACGATACCTTTAATTGAATTAAATTTATTGATTTAATTGAAATTTTTCCATATTTACATATTTGCTATTCGAAATCTGGCTTGTTATATTTATAAATATATCTCACTTATTCACTCGTACGGAATAATCATTTGATGCGAACTCAGAAGAAATTATTTAGATTTTTTTTCTAATTGTATTTTTATGGCACAGTGGGTATAACTCGTGTCTCCTTAATTTTCCACATATGCGTGTCCATGAGTACTTAAACTAAAATTTTTATAGATTACTAGCTGATCCTCGCCCGCGGGGAATATTTTTACGATTGGATTTCATGTTTTTTTTTGTACGGAAACCTAATTATCTATCTAAAATAAAAGTGACATAAGTTATTGATTATAGAATCAACTATCTGCCAGTGAAAGTCCCGTCATAATCGATCCAGCGATTTCGGAGATTAGCCGACTCAAACAGGCATACATGGAGACAGACAAGCAAATATTTAAAAAAATAGTTTTTTTTTTTGTTATAATTATATATTGTTATAATTATATGTTATAACATTTTACTGGAATCGAGGCTGTCCATCTTAGTCCTCAAGATTGTTTATGGGCCACAGCATCCACTTACCATCAGGTGGACTGTGTGCTCGTTTGTCATCCTTATCCTATAACAAAAATACAATTACCTTAATTATTTAAGAAGTACTGTTTATACTTGATATTTTATCATCGATAAAAACAGTATAAAAATGTTAAAACAATTTTCTATAATAACTTTCTAACGTTTAGAAATAGAATTTTACCGTATGGTGGTGGTGTAAGAAATCGATCGTCAAAAATAATTAACGATAGCATACATTAAGTCCTCGGCTTTCATTTAGCGACATAGCTTCCCATAGATTAACGCGAAGTTTCTCTTTCCATTAGAGCAAACAATCGTAGCCGTGTTGGTTTTGTTGGGGGCCATTAAAAACCGTGTGGTTACGACATACGTCGCCCGGTTTCACACGCGCGCTGATAAGGAAGCTTACTTTCCCCGAGCGTCTCGCTAATGATAATTACCCGATTCTGTGGCCATTGTTATTTGACATTGTTTCTTGCTAGATTTAAAGCTTTTGTAATGGTTAAGGAGTGCATAGTTAATTAGTATTTCATCATCATCATCATTACAGCCTTTCACGAGTCCACTGCTGAAAATAGGCCTTCCCCAAGGAACGCCACAAATCACGGTCCTGAGCCACCTGCATCCATCGACTTCCTGCATTTCTTAATTTTTAATTAGTATTTACTCGTACTTTAAGAGGATTGTGTAATGCCCATAGACATCTACATTTATCCTTGATTAAGAATCAAAACGCAGATGCGTTGTCACCCGTGAGAACTAAGATGGAATGCCTCGTTTCAAGTAAAAAAGGGTATCCGGATCTCTACACTCACCATACGAAGCACAGCAGTATTAAGCTGCTATTTCACCCTGGTATTCTGTGAGAGCATATTCCTTCCCTGGTCGAGCCGACCCATTCGTGCTACAACCATAATATAGCTGCAGCGTGACTCTACCACGTATAAGAATCCGGGCTGCTACTAAGAATTTCTTGACAGACAAACCCAATAACTGATTTTGACCCGACTCGAACCCAGAACCTCATGATCAGCAATCACACTTCAGTTTAGACACGGACGCAACTGCGTTCGATTCTTAATCGCTGACAGATGCCGGCGTCCATGCATCCGCTTACCGTACAGATGAACTGTGTGCTTGTTTGTCACACATTTAATTTTGTAGAATATGTTGTATTTTATCCAACGAATAAATTGTATCTGAGAATTGAAAAATCGACCATAAAAGTGTCATCGTCATATGTGTGTTAATATTGAAATCAAATCAAATTTAATTTAATATTTAAAATCTACCTAGAATTTAACATGTAATAGTTTGTACAACCTTACATAATGTATAACTTACTTTTAAAAATGTCGCGTTGAGTTTTTTGACGGTTCGTCCCAGGACGGAGACTTTTCCCAAACCAGTGGTAAAAATAAAAGAATGACTTACAATAAGAATTAGGTACATTTAATCTATATTGAATAAAACATTCTATTCTATGATGTTAAGAAGTTATAGTAATGACTTTTTCATATGACTATAATATAAATATTAAAAATGTTCATCTGCTTGTTATAGAACTCGAGCGGCAGCGAGCCTAGGTCGCGTAGTGCGACCCCTGATTCGCTGGACTCGCTGCCCAGCGGTGGGTCTGGGAGCCCACCCACCGAATGGGCCGATGCTGCCACACCACCGGACTTTGTGTAAGTCTAATATTTTTCCTGTTTACTTCATTTAGCATTTACCGAAGAGTACAATCTGCCACTTTGCCTGGCATATGTGGACTATGAGAAAGCCTTTGATTCCGTCGAGATTTGGGCGGAGTGAGTTTTGGTTGGATGGAGTGACGACCTGGTAAGACATGCAGGAAGTCGATGGATGCAGGTGGCTCAGGACCGTGCTTTGTGGCATTACTTGGGGGAGGCCTATGTTCAGCAGTGGACTTGTGAAGGGCTGTAATGATGATGATGATGATGACTTCATTTAGAATGGTGGCATATAATAAAATGTCAATAAAATCGGTTATTGGGTTTTTTGGCCAAGAAATTCTCAATATCATCCTGGAGTCAGGAAAATGTCGGTGTTTCACCCATGTGCCTCGTGAAGCACTTAAAGCATTTACCCTCTCCGGTTGTGTTGTTATTATATTTATTACCGTCCCATCCGACTACGAGAGTGAGGGAATAAAGAGTGCACCTGTGCTTGCGCATACATTTGGGTACCATAATCTTGTCCTGCGCGGATGGCTAGACTGAAATTCAGTCTCAAGAACTTTGTGGATCAGTTTCTACCAACTGTCGTATTATATAGAATAAAGGTGACAAACGAGCACACAGTCCACCTGATGATAAGGAGATGATGTCGCTTATAGACATCTACATTTAGCCTCGATTAAGAATCAAAAGTCCCACCTGAAGACTTAGATGGAACGCCTCTTATCCTGTAAAAAGTGTCTACGGTTCTCTACACTCATCCTACGAAACGTGGCTCTACCAGTTGCCTAACATTAATAATAGCTGTAGCGTGGCTCTAGCAACTTCGTGTATCAGTGATTACCAAGTGTTGTGTTCTGTTCCGTTAGCGATAGGTTCGGGGGAAACGCGCACGCGCCGCTCGGCCGCACGCCGTCCGCACCGTCGTCGGCGCCGCGCCGCGCGCGCCTCTCGCCGCCCACACACTCGCCGCCACGAGTGCACCTCTTCAAGCCCAACGACCTGCACTGGGCCGACATCGCCTCCAACACCGGTTAGTACTTTTTCAAATGAAAATTTCTTAATTGAAGAGACACCTTAGATTTAGTCGTACCCAATCCGAAATTTTGTTTAACAATGGCTCTACTTCAGACACAAGTTTGTTCCAGTACTCGATGACGTGATCCCAAAAAGTATTGGAACGGCCAGTATAAAAAAACATCACCTGTGTTCTCGTCCGCATAGCAATGAATTCTACTGGTTTGCGCCATATCATTGATGTGCAGAAGGAACAGCGTAGACGATAGCACACAGCCTTGTGGAACACCAGCATTGACAGGCTTGTTATCGGAGCATGCACCGTTTACCTTATGACCTTGATGCCACGCTCAGCTAGAAAACTGGTGATCCAATTGCACAATTTCTCGGAAAGCTCATAAGATGGAAGAAATACGATTTAGCCTACAAGAGAATGAGATAGAACACAGTATACATTGTTTCCAATATATAGAGATTATGCATGTCATCTATGAGAAGTAAGGATTAAGAACGAAATTTATTGATAAGAAAATATTTAAGTTCTTACAGTGTTAAAATTTAAAATGAAAACTTAGACCCTTTAAATAATATAATATGCAGTTTGATATAATATCTATGTAGAATAAAATTTAAAATAATTTTTAAACTAGGTAACAACAATAAATTAAATAAACTCTACTACTACTCTCGAAGTTTAGTTTTCTGAAGGTTTCATTTCTACCACGTGTGAACTGCACACACATTGATTTATAACTCAATGTGAACACATGTTTTTTTATGTTTAAGAAACCAAAGTGAATTTGCAAATGGAACACAATTTCGAATTGGGATTATTGATATTGGTGTCTGGGTACATTGTATGTTGATTTGATATTTTCTCAAATTTTATGATAAAATTTTGAGACTACAGTACTGAAAGTTGACACCGCGCCGTCACTACATGGCAGGCGAATCCGATTATTACTTTGCTCCCCAATGCCAGGTTTGGAATCTTATATCTGACATACATGAGACACCTTTTACGACATCCATGAAACGAAATAGAGTATTGGACTTTCTGACGATGTTAAATTCTTAACATCATATAACAGTCGTTTTAGTGATAGTCTGTTTACACATTTAAACATTCCGATTCCTGTCGTAAATACACATTACTCATTAGCCATAAAAATACTGGAATCTTTTTTTTTTTAACATAACGATTGCTTTATGCAAGTGAAATTATCTCTGGTTTAATAAGATTTGAAAACACCGGGTAGTGACGGTGTAGGAATATCTACTACCTCATATAATCCGTGGATGTTGATGGGGCGACACAGAGAAACTGAACATTTTCCTGATACCAACTAGAAAAAAATAAAAAAGTATGGCAGAATCCCTCCTAGGCAATCTATGGGATTCCATTATCAGCCGTGGACTTTTATAGGATGTAATGGATAGAAAAAAATGAAGCTCTAAGGTTAAGATATATAATTTTTAAACTTAACCCTAATTTACTGTTGCAAGGAATTAAGTTAAACAGTAAATTTTATAGTTTGACATAATTTTTTTCAACCTTTCAGAGGGCATAGAGCTTCTGGGTTACCAAAGATATGGAACAGTTCAGGGACCAAGAATAGGAAAGGAACGCATCAACGGATCCATTCTCAAAGACAGTGATACTTTTATGTAAGTAATTTTGTTTTTCAACTTAACCGGCTTATATGTTAACTAAATATAAAATAATAAATAATTGAATAAGTAGAAAATCCCGCCGAAATAATTGTACTATTCCTATAACCTTCACGCAAGTACAAGCAATAAGTTGACAAAATTTTACCGCAATCTGATGAACGGTATGGCAGGTCATAAAATACGAACAAACAGATACTAATATTTAATATTAAGATATTACATCAATACTTATTGAAAGTTGTTTAAGCTTTACCAATGGTTCGAATAAAACCTTTGTCCTGGAAAGAACCAGCAAGGAATCCAGCGGAACTTTTTTTAAACATTAATTTACAATATTATAGTATTTTATATAATTATGAGACAGCATAGTCGCGTTCACAGGGGCCATTATCAATTATGTCTCTTTTAAATTTTAAATTTTGTAAATATAATAAGTAATAAGCCTTAATAAACACTATCTGCTTAGCAAAATTTTTTAACTTTTTGATAGATAGGTCGTGCATATTTCCTGGAACTTTGTTGTGAAAGCGTGTCCACTGTCTTATGAGGGAATTACTGGTTCTTTGGAGTCGAGTAACTGGTATAACTAGCTTGTGATGAAACTGCTATTTACAGAATGTACATTACTTCAATATTTTTAATAGAGCTATTATTGTTTCATATTGTTGTTCATGGATGCTGTAAAATATCCGAAACGTCGAGAATTAAAAAGTTTAAATTAAACGCGATAACATCCATAAAATTAGTTTCATTTAATGTGTAGTGTTTGCGTAAATTATATAAGAAATCTACTATTATTGTTTTTGTGAGGCCAAAACTAATACATATTTCTTATAATCGTTGCGTATAAAGACAAGAAAAAACCTTTTAAATTATGTTTACATTTCAAACAATGTTTAAAAACTAATGTATCCAAAAGGAGTAATAATATGAATTGTGTTCATTACAGCAACAAGCACGCGGCCGTGTCTCGCACTAAGAGCGCCGTGGCACAGCAGCCGCTGAGCTTCGAGCACAAGTTCAACCTCGACCGCCAAGTACTGCACCCTGAGGAGGTAAACAAAAAACTATTCCAACTTGATACCACAGTAGAAGTCTAGGTCTAGTCCAATTAGAACACAATATATTCTTGTTGAGAACTTCAAAGACGCCAAAGCATACGCTCGGCATACCAAGAAAAGGAAACCTTGCGAAAAGACGTTGCATCTCTGTAGATCTTCTATCGCATATACCACGGAGAATGCTAAGAGAAATTGTTCAGACTAATTCTTGCACTGCGACAGAACACGGTTAAATTCCATCCTCATCATCCACTGCCGTGCGTTTTATGCCGAATTTTGGTCACGCACGACCACATAAGAATTTAATTAATAGAATCAGGCGTTACTTTGCGGAAATCCATTATAAAAAGCAACGACTACACACTCGGGCTGTGTAGTCGTTGATAATAAGGTTAGTAAAAATTACTTTGCCTAATTGTGCTTAATAAAATAACATGATTTGTCTTACCTAGTATAAAAAGCACTTCCATCCCTCCCTCAATTACGTGCACTATATCTGTCACCATTAATCCCAGCACCACTACTCTCAACACCATTACACCAGGAAAGACTCACCACAGTCTTAGCGGTAAGCCACTACTATTTCACCTCCTGTATCACCGAAACACGTCGTAGTATTAGTGTAGTAGTGTTGAAAGTAGTGGTGCTAGTATTAGTGATGACGGGGATAGTGCATGAAATTGAAGGAGAGCGGGAAGTGCTGGATATAGGCAAAGTAATTGTTACTAACTTTATTACACTGAAATACACTGTCGTCAGCGGTTTTTCCATACCGATACGACTTAGGGACTTTCAATGGAAGAACCTATTCAGGCCGGTAACGCACCAGCATTACCCCTGCTGTTTCAGATAATTGTGGGCGACGGTTATTACTTACCATCAGGTGAGCCGTATACTCGTTTGCCACTTCTTCCATAAATAAGATAACAGACATATAAACGTGTGTGAGCTACAACTTCAACTTACCATCAGGAACACTACGTCCCCGTAAATCATCCTTACTTCAATAAAAAAGAAAAACATTAAAAATGTGGGGTAGATTAGCACAGAGCCATTAGCAAATGGTTATCTAATCGTTACAGCCTATCAAAGACCATTGCTGAACATATCTGAACAGAGCCCTCTTTCGTAGATTGCTTCATAGGGAGGATACTTGCCATAGTTGCTACGCTTGGCAAGCGGGTTGGCAACCGCAGTTTTTTTTATTTTTAGTCGTTATTAGGAATACGCCGCTGTTCATCTCCTGGTAATCTTACATCTATTTAAAATTTATTTAAAGGAGTGGCCAGAAGAGGATAACACCGTCGACATCGAGTCACTCAGCGAACCGATGCTAAAGAAACTGCAGCCATTGCTCTGGCTGGAGCTGACAGCGCTCTTCGACCGCTACTCGCTGCCCTTCCACAAAAGGAAACCACCGAAAAAGAAGAGGAAAGAAGGTAGGGCTAATGTTTTACGTTGTAGAGTCGCACTGCAGCTATATTATGGTTGCAGCTCGAATTGTTCGCCTCGACCAGGGTATAGGAACACGCTCTGTGCTCTCGCAAAATAGCAGCTTCACACTCTTACTATTTGATTTTCAGACACAACAGTAAGACAACAGTAATGACGTATACGTAGTACACGGGACAGTGAAAGGGTTAATACTGCTGTATTTCGTATGGTGAGTGTAGAGAACCGGAGACCCTTTTTACTGGAAACGAAGTGTTCCATCTTAGTCCTCACGAATGACAACGCATCTGCATTTTGATTGTTAATTGAAGATAGATGTAGATGTCTGTGGGCCACTGCATCTACTTACCATAATGTGGATTGTGTGCTAGTTTGTCACCCCTGTTATATGAAAAAACAATGTCAATACACCTTACAAATTACACTTTTTTACACACTTACATTTACTGGGTACTCTTTCAAAACGCATCTAATATTCTCAAAATTACCAAAAATAACATTTTATAATATATCTTTTCCAGAGGGTTCAGTATTCGGTGTTTCACTAGAGACCCTTCTCCGCAAGGATATGATCCTGTGGGAGGAGACGTGGAGTTCAGTGCCGAGTATACTGCGCGCTATTTCTTCGGCGCTTCAAATGCGTTGCTCAGATGAAGGATTATTGCGTGTTCCCGGGAATAAAAACAAGGTACGTGATCGTCATTAAATCAGAATATAATAATTATTATACGTGTAAGTTTTTTTTAAATGTTTCTGTGGGCAAACGAGAATGCGGCTCTCCTGATGGTGACCACCACCGCCTATGAACATCCGCAACACCAGGGGAATTGCAGGTGCGTTGTCGGCCGGCTGCCGGCGGTTTTAGTAAGGGGTATGTTCTTCTCTTGAACATCCCTAAGTGGTATTGGTCCGGAAAAATCGCCGATGGTAAACAAGAGAAGTTGTACTAGGAAGAAGCTAGTAAAACGCACAGTGGTGAACCACCAAGCATCCAGATAGTGAGGCTTATATCGTGAATTTTGACGCAATGTGCGTTCGTGAAATTTGGCGGCAGAAATTAATCCGAACAATTCCTTAGAGCACTCCCCGTGGTAGATGCGATAGAAAATGCAACGGGATGCAACCTGCCTACGAAGCGCCAGTGAATCAAGCTGATCAGAAAGAACTCGATAGTCGACGACTCGAACCGCTCTGCGCTAGATGCGGTCAAGAACAAGGAGCCGGCACTGGGAAACCCCAGGCGGAAATGGGAACAGTATTCCATGTGAGGCTAAACTTACGCCTTGTAAAGTTGCGAGTGCTGTGCCGGCATGAAATATTGTCTCGCTCTGCTGAGCACGCCGAGCTTTTCAGAGGCCAATAATTTAGCCTTTCCTTCCAAGTGACCACAAAAATGCACACTATTCGATATGTCGATGCCGAGGATTTCGATGCTAGCTCACTAGCTGAGGCAGCAAGGGAAGTGTCTTGAAACTGAGGAGATAAGACTCACTTACTTCCGTTGGCGCTACAACCCTTTGTGGGTCTTGACCTCCTCCACAATCTTCCTCCAGTTGTCACACTGCCTGGCTACCTTCTTCCAGCTGGTAAACTTTCCCATCTTCCTGAAATCTACCACACAGTCACTCCAACGATTTTTAGGCCAGCCTCTCGGTCTCTTCTGTTGCGGCGTCCACTTTGTCATTATTTTTGCGGCTCTTGTGTCCGGCATTCTTTCAAGGTGACCCGCCCACCTCTAGGTAAGACAAAGGGGTTCTTTTTGGCGGTATTTACTTTATGCCGGCTATACATGTTGGCCGAGCGAAGGCGAGTACCAACGTATAGACACCCCATTGGTCTAGCCTCGCCATTACTCGTCGACGCTCGCCTAGCTGGCCGAGTGCACGCGAGCGCCAACGTGTATACGGTTCATTTCGCGTGCCTTGCCGTCACTCGGGATCGCTCGCTACGGCTCGTTCACTTCGGAACGGTGTCGGTTTTTCTGCACAAATCAAAGGCGCTCGCTTATGCTCGGCAAGACGTGTCCACATGTTGACGGCCATGTCAGGCGTCCGTCCCGGTGATATATTATTTAATTAAATTGCAACTTTAAAATCCTGTATAAAAAAGTACTCTGTGTTTAAGTAAATTCGACAATGTCACTCTGTACTAACGAGGACACCTTTAAGTTTTTGGAAATATACAAAAATGAACCCGTTATTTGGAACCCCAAAGACTTTACTACGGAGTACACTGATATAATAATTATATGCACTCATTAAATAAATTGCAGATGCGGCAATAATTTCTACGTCGTCCATATCGTCCCAATTATCAATGACAACTAATTACGGCCAACATGTAGATAGCTCCACAAAAACTCGTGAACATTGGCCTTGGAATTGGTCTCTTTCGAACTTCACCAACGTGTAGACTGTAGCACTCGCCTTGTATCAATTTGCCTACGCTCGCGTTGGCTGAGGCTTGGCCAACGTGTATTGCCGGCGTAACAAACTTGTGTCTTCTGGGGATTGAACTGGACTAGATTTAGTCGCCCCCAGTCTGAGTCTGTTCAGCAAAAACTCTACCTAGGCTATTAAAAAAGAATTCATTAAGTCGTCGTCGAAGCTTTATCCATGAAATAAATTATTATTATTAATAATAATTCATTTCATGGATAACTTCGATGATCAAATCATCCCTTGATTAATTAAAAGCTATTTGATAGTCTTCTTAAAAATGGCAAAACAAAGTGAAAATGACAAAACAAAAATACCTGCAAATCTCTCACAGCTAAGCACAGACCTTTTCCCGTTACATGAGGCTGAAGCTAGCTCCTAGTTTACAATGATACCTTTACGTCGGTGGCCCTGCCATACCCATAGAAAAGCCTTAATATACTGGAGAGGGACTGTCGGAAATGATGGAATGGTGGAAGGGGTTCGTCGTCTAGGTTATTTTGTTCTGTTTCTTGTTCGCGTTGTTGGAATTATTTCTATCAAGAAGACAAGAATAACACAAACTTGCCGCGTTATTTCAGTTTAAAAAGTTACGCGATAGAAAGAGAAGCAACTTGTTGAGAGTTGATGAACATAATATTACGCACTCAGTGCTGTGTGACCTGCATTGCACTTGATTGCGGAGTAATCCTTGCCTACCTTGTAGGATTGGGTAGTCTGTGGTCTAAATAAAATTCATAAAAGTAATAATTTTATCTCTGAATTGAAGAAACATGTATGTGAAAACGATAAATAAAATTGTCTTGAAGGAATCTGACTTTCATTCATCTCGTTAACTCATTTTCGTTCGGAAACAAATCGTTTATGTGTGTAATCAAAGAATTTTACTAACAAATATAATATATATATATATATATATATATATATATATATATATATATATATATATATATATATATATATATATATATATATATATATATATATATATATATATATATATATATTCCTGACCGGGAAAATGTGTAAATGTGCAAAGTATATGTAGTTTTAACTTAATCGTTTTTATTAACCAAGTGTCAGGTCGGGTACAGTACAGTGCTCATTGTTCAGCACCCGGAGAAAATTTTAAAAAGACACGATGTTTATTTATTACCGGCATGGTTGAACAGATCGAGGCGCTGTGCCAGTTGATCGAGCGCGAGTGGTACAGCGCGCGGGAGGAGGTGGAGGCTGCGCTGCAGCGCGCGACCGGGCACGACCTGGCCGCCGTGTTCAAGCGCCTGCTGCGCGCGCTGCCGCAGCCGCTGCTCACGCAGGAGCTCATGCGTCTCTTCTACCACACCTACGGTAACTTGCATCTCAATACAGTTCAAGCAACTTGTTTTTTTTTTACAGAATAGTTTTTTAGTTTTTTACAGTCCACCTGATAGTAAGTAGATGTTGTGGCCCATAGATATCTACATTTATGGTCGATTAAGGCCGAATACGAAGAGAACTGGCGAAAATTAATATATTTCTCTTCACTAGAACTTTGACCTTTGACTTTTGTAATTCTAAGCGTTAAAACATTTTTGTAGGTTTGTTCGGTTCCTTCACAAGGTGCCCGCTGTTTTTAAAATTTAAAATAAATTAATATACCAACAAATAAAAAAATGTTAAGAAATGATATCTAAAAATTATTGTTCTTCCAAAACTCCGTGAATTTTAATTTAGGAATAATTATTTTACGTAAAAATGTTTGTATTGTGATTCCGAAGGTGCCTGCCGTCTTAATTTTCGATACAAAGTATTATTTATTAACATAATTCGTTTTAATTAAAAACACCTAATAATGATATCGTATATTGTCAGATAAAAGTTTGCCGTAATAAATTACCAGGCGCTTCAACGTGTGGCGTAAGGTGATAACAATCATTGTGTCTGTAGTAAAAATTCTCTGTCTGTAGTTAATATAGTGTTTTATACGCGTTTAATTGACTATAAATGTGAATATGGGTAGGAAAAGAAATAAATGTTACCTAAGTGGTAAAACAAAGAGAGTTTATCGCATGAACGCTGCTCGAATGTTCTAAGTTTCTTTTTGAGGTTACTTATATTTTTGTAAGGTACTTTTTTGTTTGAGGCTGCCTAATAGGCTGTATTTTTACTCATTTACATTAGTCAAACTGATCATTTATACTTTTCTAGGCAAGTGAGAAACACTAAAAATGTAAATATCACGACCGAGTCGGAAAAAGAATGTACAGAGTAGTGCAAGCACAGAGACCGCAAATAATGTCATAGTCAAAAAAAAAAAAACGAAATGCAGAGCCAATTGTTTTACAAGTTAAGAAAAAGAAATTATAATTAAATAACACAAGTGATTTATTTTTTATTCACGTCTATCAATTTCGGAACGTCGCTTGTTACATTTCGTGTTGGGCCTAAGATTTTTTTAAAACAAACTTATATATTTGACATGATATTACATTGTCATCCAACCTACAGTCCATACAAAATTTCAGCTCAATCGGACAGCGAAAAGTAGGTTAAATTTAACTTGCAAGATTTTATTACAGACACAGACAGACAACAATAGGACAGGTGAAGCTAAATAAAAGCTTGTAAAAATGTAGTCATCACCTATTTCCCTAATTGGAAAGATTTTTTCTTGTCCCTGTACTTTACAGAACTTAAAACCTATATTAATATTATATTAAAGAGGAAAGATTTGTATATTTATAACGAATAAAGTACAGAGTTTATAATCTATAGGAACTAATATTATAAATAAGAAAGTTTTAATTAAGAAGTAAGCAATGCTCTCTGTGTTAATCATTACTCTGCATACTGTCGTAGTCGTACGGGCTTTGATTATATTATACATGTCTATATAAACAAAGCGTACGGGTAACACACGTGATGTTCGATAGACGGCGCGTGGTTTGCTGCAAAACGAGGAAGGTCAATCACGTCGTACGTATTCGGCCTTAAGAATCAAAATGCAGATCCGTTTTCACTTCTGAGGACTAAGATAGATACCTCGTATACAGTAAAACGAGTCTCCGGTTCTCTACACTCACCATACAAAACCTAGCGGCATTAAGCTGCTACATTACGCTGGAATTCTATAGGTATTCTGTATGCTAGGGGCGCCCCATCCGTGCTACTACCTTATTATAGCTGCAGTAAGACGTTTAAGTTCGTGAATAGTATATATATAGAAGTATTTATTCATATTGCACAGCGGTGAGCGGCGGTGCTCAAGCGCGCGCGCTGAACCTGCTGGTGCTGCTGCTGCCGGGTGGGCAGCGCGCGTCGCTGCGCGCCGTGCTGCGGCTCGCGCGCGCCGTGGCCGCGCGCCGCCACCTCAACAAGATGGACGACCACAACGTCGCCATGATCATCGCGCCCGCGCTCTTCCCGCCCAGGTACCACCGCACATAGCACACACTACACTACTAGAGCTACTGCTGCTGGGCGGGCAGCGCACGTCACTGCGCGCCGCGCAGAAAAATAAAGAATTTATTAAATAAATAAAATTAACTATATTGAATACAATTATTACATTTAATCCATTACACGATACACGATTTCATAACTTACCAATTTATATTAAATTAGTTGTGTTTAGACCGTCACGCGTCTATTTTGTTAATAAATTTTTGTTCTATAAAATAACTTTACCTACGAAGTGAAGTAGATAGCACTAATACAACATAATTTAACTAAAGTAATTTAAGTAACATAAAATAATTTTTAAACATGGTAATAGTATGATAAATAAACCCTTTTAATTATCCTACTCCTGTTTCCTCTCATTCTCTCGAAGTTTCGTTTTCTGAACGTTTCTCTTTTACCACCTGTGAACTGCACACATGTTTGAAGATGTGTTGTCACTCCTGAAAACTCAGCACGCGAAACACAGCGTAATTGAGCTGCTATTTTACGCTGGTATTCTGTGAGTCATTCTAGTCTATGATTTGAGGATTACCTATAGTCGCCTTTTACGGCATCTACAGGGCGAAACGGGCCATTGAATAAATTTCGTCATTGAAGAAATCAATTAATATTTTTGTTCTCTATCCCATCACCAGTCTATGAAATTTGAGTTCATTGTTTTTATATATATTCTTGATATCAGTCATTCGTAAGAGCTTTGTCAGCCAGTTTGAAGAGCGTGTATGTTAATTGAAAATCAAACTGATTTATTCGATCAAACAGCGCAAAACACCCAACTTTGATATAATCCGGCTCGAAAGACCAAAATTACTTTTGTAACTGGCTGGTTATTAGTAAAGTTTACTGGTGTTTTTGAAAGTTGTGTAAACTTATTTAGCACCCCATAAGTAGCCTTTCTACCTTATCAGCCCGTGACAGGTTTAACATAGTAATCTCCCACCGTAGGAAGTTTTAGCCTTGAATAGTATAGTCATCATCGTGACCGCAAATAAAACACATACATTAATATTAAACTGATTCCATGAAGGATAAAGGGCAACCGCAAAAGTAGATATCTGGCACTTTTGACGCTTCTCCCCGTCATCGGTGTGTTTAGTAGTCCTATTCCTAGACCGACGGGACGAAATTGGGTAATGAATTTTTCTATGTCATCAATTCGTACAGTGAGTGTTTTACTACAATTCAATAATTTTTATTTCAGTCTCCTGATTAAGCCGACAGACAGTCTCGAAACTCAGCTTGCCACGGCGGCCAACAGCTGCCACGTGACAGAGGCGCTCATGCGGTGGTCGGAAAGTTTGTGGCAGGTCCCCGCTTCCCTGCTAGCCGCAGCACAGCGTAAACCACGTTCAAGGCATGTGCACACCTGACTTCAATACTCTGGACTAGTGAATCCGATCTAGTGAAATGTCGAGTGTTGATACATAAAGGACCTTAAAGTGCTAACCAAACTAAAGTCTCCTGTTTTACGTATGTATGGGGTCTTTGGCGCAACGGATTTAATAAAATGTAGCTAGCTGTGTCAAACACTTAAAGTGCCTTGAAGTGTCGAAGCACGTCATGTTGCTGGTGATAGTGTTGCTTAGAGCTCTTATCAATTAAAACTTACGAGTAATACAAAATTGTAAAGATCATTACGCTGGTAACATTCAATTAAATGCAACAACATTGTGTTGTATGGAGATGTAGCTTGAAACTTGACATGTGGATAATGTTTGTACAGTTATGTGTCTTTTGTGCTGAATGTATCGGACTGGGTCATTGAAAATTATGTCAGTTACTAACTGATCTTTTTGTTTTCCCCTTTCTGGTAGGTGGCGCTATAAGTTTAATTCCCGACTTTTTATAGTGTAAATATAAAATTAATAAATAGCTTGACTACAGCACTACCTACCGTGTCCAGATTTTGTAAATTGTGATTATGAGTAATTTTGGTCCATAGTTAAAGAATTTGTTATATTGACTTGCATAGCTGTCAACCATCGTCTCTAAGTCAAGTTGTAGGAATTCACAGTTTTTGTTTGGACATGGATTAAAATGAAAAAATTCCTCATCTTAAAAATGATGTGATAATGTGAAATAATATACTTAAATAATATGTTTACATAAGCACTTAATCCTATTTCTTCAATTAAGACCAACTAAGTTACTATTGTGATAAAACGAAAATAGCTACACCCAACATGTAACAAGTTGTAAAATTAAAATTTTTGTGTAAGCGACTTCAATATAAATAAAATGAGAACATCATGTACCACGTGAGAAGCACCAGCCTTCAAATAAAAATAAATCAGAAAAATCTGTTCACCTAGGAGAAAGTTCTAAGATAACACGCATATAAGGTATAATGGAATTGAGAACCTCCTCCTTTTTTGAAGTCGGTTAAAATAGTTCATTTTCTTAATGACATATGTTTCATTAAGGGTTGAGAACACATTCTGTATTTTAAAATGGGACCAAAATAAGGCTTAGAATTGTAACTCATTGTGAATCAAAACAATAAATAAATAAGAAATTCTATATCATTTGTATGCATTAAAATTTGATTTTTTTTTAAATTAATTAAATTTTATTCAAATTAACAAGAATCTAACTTATTATCTATTATTTTCCTTAATGGATACGGCGATAAGCGTAAAAATATGTCATTGAGTGAGGCTTTTTAGGCCAGTAGCTAAAATAAATCATATCAATATGAAAGTAATAAAATAATAAATATGACTGTAGTAAATCTTAAAAAGCAATATTATGGCTCAAGAATAAGGTGGTAACTAATCGCTTGAAATTATTATCGTGTTTATTTTAAGTGTGCTAATAGCAAAGGTTAATTCATTTTTACTGTCTTCCTTTTATGTTTTCACAAATGTTTTCTCACATATGAACCTAATGTAAAATTGCACCCATTAGTGTTTAAATTCTTAGTTGCCTACACACTACCCAGGACTATTGCTACCCGACTGCGGACTACCCTTTCAATCTAAGCAAACTCTCACTCAAACAAATGTACCCTGCCAGGTATATTTAAAAAATTAATCATGCTCCGCTTCGCTCCGATAAAGTGCATGTAACTTTAGTTTTAACATGCACTTTGTAATTTATATGATGGATAAACTATATAATAAATTTAAATGAGGAAAATAAATTGCAAATTATAGCAGAATTGTTTGGCCGTAGTTGGGTTTATTTTGTAATTTTTAACTTGTTTAGTGTGCTTTTGATTCTTCAACAAACATCAGTGAGTGATATAGTTAATTGTATTTAATTATAGAGGATAAATCATATACTCCGTGTTAATTATTAGTTAACGCATTTAGTGTGGTATATAGAAAGTGAATGAGATGCCAAATAATCATTTCTATTCAAATAAAGTGATATTATATTGAATATTATTCCAGTCTTCGAGGAGTCTGGTCTACTTCCTTTCTGATTATAAAATTTATGTCTATCTTTTTGGAATTCGGTGCCATTGAATTTGGTTGGTTTTTGAAAGTTACCATTTGGCAAAATCTTGTTTTCATGGTTGTTAATTGGTGCCTTATGTCGATATGATATTTTACTTAGGGATTAACTAAATCAGAATTCCGTTATGTAAATACTATTTAGTAGGGCGGACTCTTGTAAAATATCTTACCAATGTGACTAGGCAAGCAAAGACTGACTTGGTGTATTTTTAAGCTATGTATATTGATATTATTTCGTAAGTATATTTACTTCCACTTTTAAATAAAATATACATGTAATTATATTCGTTTTTTATTTACGTACACGTAAGCTATAATTAAAAATTTACTTTATCCCTTTTTATATAAAGTTTAAATTGATGTTAAAATTACCATGGCACTTTGGATCCACTAGCCCGAGCAACATTTCAACAATTTTGGCAAGTTCGACTAATTAGGAGTGTGTATTCATCGAGCCGTGGTAGCTCAGATAGTTCACCCTTGCTGTAAATATCACAGTACGCGCGTAACTCGGGTTCGATCTCCGCCGTCACCAATGAAATTGTCGATTGCAATTTTAAGTCCTGATTTACCACGTGCTCGGCGGTGAAGGAAAACATCGTGATGAAGCCTGCATGTCTGTGAAATAAAAGAAAAAAATATTTCGAAGACATGTGAAGTTCGCCAACACGCATTGGGGCAGCACGGCGGACACTTCCTTACCATAAAACCCTCTCAGAAATGAGGGGAGGCCTGTACCCAGCAGTGGGACGTATATAGGCTGTATCTTTACTTTTTTATTTAAATATTTGCAAGTCATAATCTACACAATCGTTCTAGAACGTCATAATATTAACGCACACTAATGTATCTTTGCGTGCGTGACTGCTTTTGTTTATTTTAATATACTACACATACAGTTCATAGTACAATAAATACTACAGTAACATTAAGTGACTATGTTATATTGTGTGTTGGGAGCCATGACAAAAGTCCTTATAAATTGTATTCTAATCTTAGCGTTGCTTTGTATAAACTACGCAAAACTAATGTTTATTTATTACCTGTACTAAAACTACTAAACCTGTAAATTTGTTTTTAAATAAAAAATTATAAATAATATGTATAAATTTTTTAATTATTATTATTAAAATATTGACTCAAAACTACAAAAATTGTAGGCTTATTGACATTGATTACAAATACTGCAATATAAATTCAAAAACCGATTACATAAATTACCTGTGATATTCTATTAACATGTCTATAGATAGTCACGAATATGATAAACAATTTATAGTGCAGAAAAGTAGGCATAATAATTTGGCTGAAAAAATTGTAGATAGAACTTCATTATTAGACAAACGAAAGAAGGGAACGATACCTTATTATTTCAAAAAAAAAATTAATGAAAAATCAAAAAGTTCATGAAGTTATCAATTATAAGAAAGGTACCATAGAATATTTCTTCGAAAAAATTAAAATGAAAGAAGCTTTTTCGATAAAAACCACTCTGATCAGAAACTACTTCTTTTACATCAAAATATTGCTAGAGTTTTAAATAAACAAGATTTGATTTCAGTAAGTTTAAATGAACTAGCTAATAGTAACAAATATATTCAAATCATTTGTTTCACTGAGACCTTAAAAGTAGCGAAGAACCTAATCTTAAGCTGCCAGGATTTCAGCTGCCAACATTCTACTCCAGACGTGGCGGAGTAAGTATGTATAGTTGTAAGGAAAAATATAAATTATAATGATTTTTTGTAACGAAAGAATATGAAATGACAAAACATTTTGAATGTTGTGGAATTGAAATTAATCTTATAATTTTATGCATATATCGAACACCTAATTCAGACATATACATATTTTTCCAAAAATTTAATAAATTATTATTAAAATTATCAAGAGGAAATAAAAGACGAATAATCATAGCAGGAGATTTAAATATAGACAAATCCAAATCCCTACATAAATGGCTACAGATTCGTTGCTACAGCAGATCCCCTCCGCAGAGATCGTGATCTTCGGCGATTTTAACGCCCATCACGCCGAATGGCTTGGTTCACGTTTAACCGATCATGCGGGGGAGATCTGTTTATAACTTTGCTTTGGCATAATTATGGTCTGACACAACTGGTTACTTCGCCTACGCGGATTCCAGATGTGGAGGATCATGCACCTTCCCTGTTGGACTTTCTACTGACCTCTCACCCGGACGAATATCACATTTCCCAGACGCCCCTTTAGGCTCCTCGGACCATTGTCTTGTCCGAAGTGTGGTGCCACTCACGCTGAAATCGCAGTTGCATTCTGCAGGCTGCCGCCATGTCTATAGGTCAGCCGATTGGGATAGCATGCGGTCTTTCTTTGCATCCTACCCTTGGGGGCGGGTTTGCTTCTCGCTGGACGATCCCAACGTTTTTGCGGATTCTTTCGCTGATGTGGTACTTCAGGGTATAGAACTTTTTATTCCTTCCTCTGTGGTGCCCATCGGAGGCAAATCTTACCCATGGTTTGGTCGCTCCTGCAAAATAGCATTATGCTATAAGCAGGAGTGCTACCAAACCTGGGCTGTCGCATCAACGTCCCGGGATATAAACACCAGCGCTCTAAAAAGGAAGTATAATTTCGCCTCCAGGTCCTTCAAAATAGTCACTGCCAAGACAAAGTCAGAGATGTACTCTGGCGAGGGATGTACAAAGGCAGAATTGGCGAGAAACTTGTTCGCCTTCCTTCTGGAACCCGTGCATTCTAGTCTCTCGCCAAGGCTATCTTGTCAATGTTTCAATTTCTGTCAGCCATCTCTGCACAGGGAGGACTACTCACTGGCCCATACCGCAAAGGAGAAAGCCGATCTTCTAGGCTCTTTCTTTGCGTCCAACTCGACTCTCGATGACGGGGAGAGTACGCCGCCGACCATCCCG